TTAAATCTTAATAACACTAGACCAGAAGCTACGATCGATGGCAATGACTAGAAGATAATCTAAGCTGAAATAGTGCGCCCGGCAGACACACTTTTCAATAAGGGTTCCGATCGTATAAGTATGGAATGTATACATATATATATATGGGCGGAAGACTAAAAGTTATTTTTTATGGGTTCTACAGTCTTCTAGTGTTTCCCGTGCGTCTGCGGTGACAGGTGATTGAGTTTTTTTTTCTACAGTATATATTCGAGGCACTTAATAAAACGTTGTCGCAGTGGCGACGTTGTTGGTGTAACAAGATTGAATTTCCCCCTTAATAAATCCGGAAAAAAAAATATATATATATATACTTTTTCACCACCTAAGCGCCGTTTCGCCACCGATACACACACATGCCTACCTTTGTACGGGCGATCCGTGTAAGACACGGAGAACGATTCACCGGGCACAAGAATACGTTTTCATCATTATTCCACCGCATTTGTCTTTATCGGTTGCACGCAAAAGCTCACACACGCACACAAAAAAAAAAGTAAAAACATTCTACCTATTGGCGTCGGCGGCCGGCGACTAATTGTCGGCTATTATTCACGCACGTCGTAAAGGTCTCCCCCCAGCCTTTGAAAAAAGGGCACCGGTTTGATTAAAAGCCATCGTTGCGATGTTGAAAAATAGTTCACAGGACATGCGAGTTGCGTGTGTGTGTTGAAAAAATGGTCAGTCTCGGAAGCAATCGATATAGCCAATACTATGCACGTTAGTGTCAGTGTATAGAATAATAAGAAATGTTGTTGTTCACCACGGCACCGAGAACTTTTAAGTGATCAATGGAGGACCAAAGTATAAAGTCGAGACATGGGTGCACAGGAATTATTTCTGGAGGCTGCGCATGTGAAAAAACGCGTTAGATACCTCATGGCAATCACACTCTTAAAAAAAAAAAATATATATATATACATACTAATACTAATAAAAATGCTAATAAAATACTAATACTGCGTTTTATTAATGTAACATTTATAGTAATATTTTCTTAATGAGGTAAAAGTTAAATCACAAATAAATAATTGTATTTCTCGAATTTTAACGATATCAGTTTTCTTATGATCATTAATTATGGGTAATTTTTCAAGAATGGAATTTAGGACAAATTCTCTGTTTTTTTAACAGGCATATTTTTAGTCTCAGTCATCACAGCTACAATTCATGATAATTTATATTCCGTCTATAACATACATATGCAATTCTAATAATATATTATTAATACCGGACCACTATTATCATCAAACGGACGACTGTGGAAAGAATACCAAAATATAATAATAACAGTGTACTATAATATCATATCATTTCATTTCCTATACTAAGTGAACCGCATCTAAAATGTTTTGACTGAAGTCGCCTCTCCCTAATTTGGTGCTCTCTACCCAACATTGTAATGTCACCGTAACGGCTGACAAAATAAAATACTATAACGTACAGTGTACATTCAATTAGTTAAATAATTTAACTAAAATTGTATTTTTAAGTTTTATTCAATTATAAATATGTTTAGGTGTGTTTGGTTACAATATCAAAACATATTTATTATTGTCACCAAACATTGGTCGAGGGCTTTTACAGAGCGCTATGTTATTATTATAGAATACACACTGTGCCTTGTTAATTAAAACAATTTTCATATTATCACAAACATGCCTATAATATTTTCGGAACACTCCAGTCAATTTTATCACAAATAACACGAGCTCCATAATATGTTAAAATTATAATTGACGAATTCGATTTTACTATGCGTCATACCTAAACTAATAGAACAACATTACAACGAAAAATTAAAATACAAATAATTTAATAAAAAAAATGGCAAAATATCAGTTTGGTTTGGTTAAATCTAAAATCTGCATGCACTAATAAAAAGACGAAAATTTACCGTTGAACGATAACGGGGTAATATTGGACATGTCGCTTCTATGTAAAGCTCAATTGAAACTCTTTTTTTTTTTTGTGAACGAAAAAACTGAATCTATAAAAATATAATAAATCGCTAAAATAATGAAAAAGGCCGGAGGTAAATTTGACATGTTCCTAGAACAACCTAGCTATTAAAAAAGACGGGTGGCTGCCCCAACCGTCGATGGAAGAGAAAGTAAAAAGATCAATGTAAAGGAAAATACTAGGAGTACAAGTAGACAAAGAGGAATGGGTAGCATAAAAGTGCGCGGAGTAAACCCAACGGTCTATAAGTATGCGAGGAGATGATTTAAAGCGTTGGAATCAACTAGAGTGGAAAAAGGCGACTAAGAAAAAAGGAAAAAAAACATTTATTAAAAAGAAATCTAAAAAAAAAGTTTTTTTTAGTACCAACATTCAACTCACTATTTGTGTTTCAAATCGATGCAATCAAAATCCATACACGGTGTTCTAAGTACAAAGTAGAGTTAAAAAGGCAGGCGATTGTAAGGATTTTTTTCAGCGAACTTAGAGCCTCGAGAACGTCATGTTTTTTAGAACTTAAGAAACGTCACACTTACATTTTATGCAATATTATTGTTTTAGATGTTCAGTTTTTAATCAATGTGTACATCGATACTGTCATCTGACAGGCAGCGGCTTTGGCTTATAAACCACAAATTTTTCAAAACGTCAACGTCATATCGCCATATCAATTTATATATATATATATATGTATATAAATATATATATATATATAATATCGTGACGTTGGTGGTGGAACTTGCGAAATCCGATAAAGTATGACATTGTGGGGCGGCGTATTCTATTACGGTCCAAACGGCGAAGGCCACATAAACTGATTTTTCATTCGGAAATGAAAACAGTGACGGAGGAGGGCGACAACGGAGCCGAACGGAATAGGGTCTACACTTTGACACATTTTTAACTTGACAAAATGTTCGAGGCTTATTTAAGGGGAAAAAAAGAACAGCTAAGTCGTCACTCCCGTTATTCTGACAACAACGTCGTAAATACAATAGTAGCTTTAAAAGTAATTTTTTTTTATCTATTTTAATGTTTACTACATCTATCTATCCTTGTTTCTTTCTAGCCCCAACTCTATTTCCAGGGTGATACTACTCCACGGCATACATTCAGATTTTAATCTTTCAGGTCAAATTTCATCGAATATCCCTTCTTATTCTTCGTTTAATATTATAACGCCACATTTTGTTCGCAATGTCAATTTCGTCAAGATGACGTTGTTGGTGGCAATCTGCTTGAAGGCGGGGGATCTTTTATATCGACACAAATATAGAGAAAAGGGGTGTGACATTATATTGAGTATATCTATATTGACTATATCCTATACAACTGAGGATATGGCCGGGAGAATTGCGAAATCATTCGAGTGCCAATTCTTTGCCCTATATCCATTTATTTAATACCAATGACGAACTCACAAGTAAAATAAACTAGAGCTCAGTTTCTACAAGTATCATTGACCGTTTAAATAAAATATAATGCCGCTTTCCAATCTTTATCTAATGCAATTTATTTGGCTGTGTTATTTCGATTTACGAAGTAACATGGAACTCTATATGACATTAATTACAGATTAAAAAGAATATATGGTATACGGGTCTTCGCCGTCCGTCTTGCGCGTGAATCTTTACTGTTATACTTAAGCGTATTCCCGGCACGTTTTCTATCTGCAATACTCATCTCCAAATTGTACCACAATAAAATTACCATTGCCGCATGCCGTAAAGGTCAGATACTCATATCATTTTCCCCGTCAGCGGTTTCAACGACCTTGTTCTTGTTGTTATTATTTGGATGATGTATCCCGTCGTTCCTGCCGCTATAATATTAAATACCTACTTTTACAATCCAAACACAAAATACATTTCTTAGCATTTTACGACAATTAAAATAGCAGTGAAAACTAATCAACTGGCAATTTGAGACGGTCGTGGCACAGAGAAAAAAAATTACTAGTTGAATGGGTATACCATTACTTTTAGTAGAAATATTTGTACTGTTTATAGAAAAGCATAAAATAATAAATTAATGTTTAATAACTGTGATGAATATTGGAGTTAACAGTTTAAACACGTAATCACAAGTAGCATAAAATGTCGGGCATTTTTATTGGTTTCCACAACTATTAATAAATCAAATATTTCGTCCATAAAAAATAAACTAAAACACAAACATTCAAAGCCGTAGAATCAGTTGCTTTGGTATGTTAATTTGCATTCCAGAATTATTTCTAATAAAAATGAACTAATGAACTAATTTTTAATATTTATAAAAAAAAACCTATTTAAGATAAATGTAAAGAATATATTATTATAATAGGGAAGAGAATGGCATAGAATTGGATGAAAAGTATATTATTATGTTTTATAATTTTATTTTGGGAATTTCTTATATAATGGTGTACATAAATACATTGCCGGATGACGGTCATTGGGCACGTGGCTGTCAACGTGTTAAGACGAAATTTAGTGATTGGTTCGTATACTTAATTGGGTTATTCATTTTAATACTACGGTCTACTGGTATTTATTTGGGTTATTCGGTCATTTCCCGATTGAGCGCAGTTAATCATCGTGAAGTTTATGCAAATAAAGTATTTGCAATCACACTTCCCTCTAGTACAATAACGCCACGTACGGATTTTATAAGTATAATAAATTGCTTTATACGCCCACGCCCGAGCACTGAGCAGCCGTGGCGGATAACTTGCTGAACGAGAGACACTGTCGTTTGTTCCTTAAATAAATGTCTTGCAAGTTTTCCATTCATGTTACAGTACACGAGGCTTCGAAAACCCTTGAAATTAAACGTTCCAGAATATTAAATTGTACAACTGAAACTGTGCAACGATTCTAAATAGAATAACAAATAAATACTAAAAAAAAATATATATATATATTTATTAAAATGAAATAATAGCATCACTATCACTATATCCAATAAAAATAAATATTGTTGTATTCAACAAAATGTATAAAATGTAAAATGAAACTCACCTGATGATTGTTAAATACTGACTAGCTTAAAGCATCACACAGCCAAAATCTAAAAATAAAGTAATTAGGTAATTAATGGAGGGAATATATTTAATTAAGGAGTAACCCATATTTGATCTGAGATCAAAGATATAATTTATTACATGCATAGTTATGTATTATGCAATCCGCAAATATATTTTTGCAAGATTATAATTGTTGACAAATAAATACATTGTTGTTTTCCTCAAACTAAAACGACAGAAAATGTACCAAGTTCAAATGGATAAAGGTTAGTGATTTAAGTTGGCGCGATTGTGTGACAAGTGAGAATTATAAATATTTGTTAAAATAATTAACTTTATTGTGTTATTTAATTTACAACATAACAAACTGATTTATTCTTGAATCGATTTTCAACAACACGCCTTGACTAGTATAGGAGGAGTATTAAATATAAAATACCAAACAACAACAATTTACATAATATCGCAATAAATAAAACTTTTAAGATATCTCCCACCAGACTTATACTATAGCATAACAGCGACAAATTTCTCTAATTTGATAACATGCTGCTAACGTCTAACAGCACAAATGTATTTCCTAAGAAAATTAATTTATGCGCATACTTTTTTATTGCGGAAACGTAAAAACTGAAGTTATATTTTAATAAAACTATGAATATCTAGTGTATCATTCCGTTTACATAAATGATTATATTTAAAGAACATTTGTTGGTCGAAAAACAAATGTCAAGTAATAAACATGGCTAGCGCTACTTACTGCAATACACAGAAAACCTGTTTGATTAAATCACCCAGACGTCTGCAGTAATAACACGTAGGACGCAATATTTTTTAACCAAGTGTAATTTTTACAAATAAGGACACCACAGCAATAGTGTAGTTTCATCACAGTTTCTTTTGAATAAAAGCATACCCAAAAATTTACCTAAGGAGACAGGTCAAAATTCTTAAGTATATGCCGCATATAAATAATTAGAAAAACAAATGTAATTAAAATTTATAATAAAAACTTTTGTCGCAATTAATATATAATAATTTCTGGCTTTTACCATTCAAGTCCTTCGCCAAAACCACAAGTTTCCTCCATCTCATTCGTATATTTCATAGTAGGTAATATTAATATTATAACACCGCGACCTGAAAACGATTGAGCGGTTTATTCGTACACCGAAATTGCTTTTCTTTATTTTATTTAACCGTCGTCTGACTCAAAGACATCTGATGATTAAATGGCTTTGACTGTATTGTCTTGGTCGGCAATCAATTTTGGTCGTACGACTGGTCGCAAAACTAAATGAAACTGTACACGAAAAAAATCACAACTTGCTGGAAGTAAGTAGTGCTGGAAGAGCTGCAATGATTTTCACACGAAACTCAATTTGATATTTTAACCAAGAAATACGTTAAAAAAAGTAAGATGAAAATAATCATATTTGTCATTCCGTGAATGGTATTTGAATTATTACTCGAGCCTAGTGAGATTAAACGATATTATCATATTATATTATTAAAATTATACACCTACGTCGAATATCCATTCAATATTTTTCTCCGTTACTACACGTTGTAACAACGTGCTACGACCGGACACACTTTCATTCATAATAATAATAATAATAAAACATAACAGTATGAGAATCGTGTGTCGGTTGATAAACGGCGTACAGCTGGTGTGCGTAGGACAAACCAGTTCCGCCCTTCAATGTGATCGCCAGTTTATATACTTTATAGGATTGGAAAAAAACATATTACCGAGATTTGCCCACAACCTACGTGTGCACGAATGAAAAACCAATCTTTGAAAACTCCGTTGTACCATTTCATGAAAACCGCAAGACGAAAATGACTAGATAAGTTCAAAGTTCACTTTCTGAAATCCACCTGACCCAAAATGGTTTTAAACAAAAATAATATGAACTGTACACATAATATATAATCAAATACATTCTAGTAGGTATAGCAGATGTTAGTAAAAATAAGCATATTTTATGTTATACAATTTGTTTTTCACAAGAAAAATTAACTGTCTAAATGAAGGTCGCGTTCACGAGTAAGTCGATTTTAAAATGTTGTGCGCGCTTTGTCTGATGACGTTTCAGATGTTTACCCAGATGTAATTAAAACAATAAAGAAATTAATATTTAAAAACGATTAACCATAAAAATAATACACTGCCCTGAGCGCTAACGGCAGAATGTCTGAAATGATAATGTGGACAATATCCAAATAGTAACAACGTCAGTTCCATTCATTTTTAACAAATTTAATGAAACATATAAAAAGATACACCGACAAAGGTTTAATACATCTAATAATACAGTAGATAGGATAGTGTACACTTATCTTGGTGCCGTTGCAGCATTACACGCAATAAAATAAGTAAAATAGTAGTGGTAATAGTCGGGCAAACCGTCTGTCTACTAATAAATTGCAATATAGTACAACGGTAATTGTGTTTTCCAGTAAGTATTAATATGTTGTTATTCAATGGATAAGAGCGGCGATTTCAATTAAAACAATTATTACAGGTGTTTTCAGTGAAATTGAAAAGTTTTCGTCAAATTTTACTAATAACTATCAAAGTCAAGTTTTATTTAATTAAATAATGAAATATCCGCATACCTAACATGTAATGAGTTTTTCTAACCAAGTTTTAAGCCATACAGCGTAGGGCGAAGGAAATGTATGAAAATTCCATATAGACCAAAACAACATTATGATAAAGATTACATATTTTATATACGAGGCTACTATATAATATTTCTCCATAATAAAACTTGGGCGTTTGTTACACACCAAACGGTTGATTAAAATGCAAGAGGTGTCGCCAGGCTCTCGACACATAAATATGCCTACATAGCCACCCAAGAAGGGAAATTCAAATTCAAGTTGAAAAACGTATTTTAAAAACCAAATTCTTTGAAAATACGTGATCTGCCAACTGCTCTGGAGATATGTCTTCAATATTCGTGTTTACTTGATAGACGCTGGAAAGTATTAAAAAAAGGTACTCCACCCATTGATAGTCTAGACAGGTTATTATTTTGTTTAATTTTAAGAAGAATGACGACAATTCCAGCAATTGTAATATAAAGTATATAAAATATAATAAATATATATACATATAAAATAAAATCAAACGCTTTTACAATAAAAATATCTCGCTACCAATTCATTAGAATCAAAATCCGAATCCTTTGAACCATCATGTATTTGCAAGGTATAGTCCCTAACCTAAAAAATACCTTTTAAAACATATTTCTTGTATTTTTGATCAAACAAAATATTATGTTTAAAATGGTTCATAAAAGACAAGATCTTATAAATCAAATTAATTGCATAATAGGCCGACTTATAGTAGAAAAGATTATTAATTGTTACATTGAAAAACGTTTAGTCTAATAACATCGGTTCGCATCTACTACATGATTTGAAAGTAATAATTATATACAGTTAATTAATTTGTACTTAATTGCCCTTACCTCTTAATAAGAAAAATAAACAATATAAATAACATATTTATACAGCACAGCGTAGATGTAAACAGAAATCTTAAAAAGTAAAGACAAATCCTGCTCGAAGAATAAAACTGCGGTACTAGTGCGGTTGAGAACCTTTTTGGTTGTTGACTCCTTCGGGACTTAAGTAGTGAAAAATTATTTGTTTGTAGGGGAAACTCCCAAGACGCAAAATTACAATTTCATCTATGTAAAATAATTTATTGTCAACAAAAAAAAAATGGGGAAAATGTTTTTATTTTGTACAAACGTTTACAGAATTGCTCCAAAACATTTATGCAGTACAAAGCGTTCTTAACATTCTATTGTTTATTCCCCTAAGACTTTGGCATATTCAGGTGGGTAAACCGTCCTCGAAAAGTTTTATTTGAATTGATTTGACACGTGGATAAAGTAACAAAATGAACAAACAAAATCTATCTTTTTTGTGAAAGGAAAGCCAAATCGAACTTAAAACGAAATAAGTCCAACCATTTCACAGTTTCCAAAACTAATTTCATTAAGTGGAAATATCTTTTTAAAATCATAAAACGTCTTTAAACCGTCTAGCGTATTTTGTGAGTTACTTTTTAATTTATTAACATTTTTATCCATAAATCAACTACATTCATAGTATATTACTAGGTTTAATTTCACCCCGTCGCATAGAGGTATGGTGGAGACTCATGGTTTGGTCCAGTTTAAAGTTAAAATTATGTAAATTTTGTTTACAACCTAGTAATGACATTCACATAGTATTTACTTATTTACTCGTTTAACACCAGAGGTGTTTAAAACATTTTGGTATCTTTGAACTATATTATCACCCGACAGAACGTTAACGATCCTTTTAAGTTAATTGAACAAATGAACGATACGTTATGCGAGAACCCAACCGAATAAGCGCAGTAAATGATGTGGCAGTCAAGGTGATAATTATTATTTAGTAACAACCCCATCGTTAAAACCGTTGTCCCTGAAGACAAATACAACGCTAGTTTCACGACGGTGACGATTTCCATTTGAAGTGATGGTTAATTAATGACATTACATCAGTTGTTGTTCTTAAACGAGGGATTACGCGAAACGTGTCATCTCTGTCAGAATATATATACTATATATATATTACATACATATAGTGAGGTGGTGACAGTCGGGATACTAGTATAATATATGCATACTATAGTACTCTGTGTGTAGACACTATATAATAATACATTATACATGGATGGAGTGTCGACCAACGACAATAATAAAATTCAACACAAGTGTCTACTTACCGATCTAGATTAATATTTAAATAACATACATTTAAACACTGTTTACTAGCATTGTATCGTGCTCTTTACCCAGCAGGTTTACACCGACCTTAGTTTTTTGCGGGAACATACTCTCTAGACAAGGTTTACAGTTTGCCGGAATTTTCCTTTTGAGTAGTTACAATAATCTGACAGATGTGTTGAGAGATACTTTTCGAAGAAAACAATAAATTTCAAGCCCACGCATAGTGGTCCGGAAATTAAAAAAAAATAGTGGACAAAAAT